ATGATACAATAAAGATATGTCAATTTGATGAATTTTATTACTTTAGCTTATTATGTTATTTTTATAAATAAAAAAAAAACTAAGCAAAGTATTGTAAAAATATTCTATTTATCCTTACAATTATATTATATTATATTACGATGTTATACAAGAAATGATACAATTCTAATTTTGTAAAAGGAGTAATACGTGACTTGGAGTATCCGATACTTCAAAACTAAATATCCGATACTTCAAAATTAATGAAAAATTAATTAAGAAATATCTGATACTTTTAATAAGTATCTGATACGTATCCGTAAGTATCCAAGGAGTATCGGTATCCAACACGGATACGATACGAATACGTCTCCCTATTTGAAATATCCGTGCTTCATAGATGCGGACTTTATTGAGAAAGCATCAAGATGATGCAAAGAATACAAGAACCCCAAAGAGGACCAAACACTTCCTCTAACCTATAACCTCGTCCAAAAACTCTAAAAAACCAAACATATCCGGATCAGTTTTCATCTCTAACCAACTATATAAAATAGCTAGAAGAAGACTCTCAAGCTAACTAACTGTGCGATGAATCTCTTGAAACGTGCATCTATTACGTTCTAACCAAACTAACCACATCAAACAAAAAGGAACCAAATACCACACAAGCCGTCGTCGACGACCAACTCGAGCCCTGTGCCAACACCACAACATGTCCGCCACCCTCCACGGTTGAACCTAAACAATCCCAAAAAGAGAGAACACCAAGCCCCACACACGGAATGTAACCGGGCAATGTAAGAACAAATGATCCACAGACTCTGCATTTCTTACTATGTTATTTTTATAAAAAAAACTAAGCAATGTATTGTAAAAATATTCTATTTATCCTTACAATTATATTATATTATATTATATTATGATGTTATACAAGAAATGATACAATTCTAATTTTGTAAAAGGAGTAATACGTGACATGGAGTATTCGATACTTCAAAACTAAATATCCGATACTTCAAAATTAATAAAAAATTAATTAAGAAATATCCGATACTTTTAATAAGTATCTGATACGTATCCGTAAGTATCCAAGGAGTATCGGTATCCGATATGGATACGATACGAATACGTCTCCCTATTTAAAGTATCCGTGCTTCATAGATGCAGACTTTATTGAGAAAGCATCAAGATGATGCAAAGAATACAAGAACCCCAAAGAGGGCCAAACACTTCCTCTAACCTATAACCTCGTCCAAAAACTCTAAAAACCAAACATATCCGGATCAGTTTTCATCTCTAACCAACTATATAAAATAGCCAGAAGACGACTCTCAAGCTAACTAACTGTGCGATGAATCTCTTGAAACGTGCTTCTATTACGTTCTAACCAAACTAACCACATCAAACAAAAAGGAACCAAATACCACACAAGCCGTCGTCGACGACCAACTCGAGCCCCGTGCCAACACCACAACATGTCCGCCACCCTTCACGGTTGAACCCAAACAATCCCAAAAAGAGATAACACCAAGCCCCACACACAGAATGTAACCGGGCAATGTAAGAACAAATGATCCATAGACTCTGCATTTGCACAACACATATAACACTGATTTACTAGAATGTGACAACGTCGCATCAAATTATCAATTGTGAGATTGCGACTCAAAGCCGCCGTCCACATAAAGAAAACCACCTTAGATAGAACTCCTGGCACCCAAACACTCCTCCAAGAGAAATCCTATCTCACCTCCCCTACCATGCTCCAATTGAATGACGAGATCGAAAAACACCCCTTAGCCCCGACATTCCATCCCAAAACATCCTCCCCCCACCCCAGTCACACCCAACCCATACAAGTAGTCCCATAACTTCACCATCTGATCAACCTCCCAGTCTTGAACCTGACGCCGTAACATAATGTCCTAGACCACCACCTCCGCACCCCTGAAATAAGACGCCACCATAGCCTCCTGATCTCTCACAATGATGAAGATCAAAGGAAAGTGATCCTCCAGCAAATCCACACCACACCACACCACCTATCATTCCAGAAATGCACTCTCACCCCACCACCTAGCCGAAAACCCACCCTATCCCAAAACTCCCTTCTCCCCAACCAAATTCCTTTCCATAACCCACAACCATGAGAACCCATCACCGTCCCTGACCCTCACTCCCCCTCCCCATACTTAACAGCCACCACCTTTCGCCACAGTTGCTCTGGCTCCCAAGCAAAGCACTACAATCATTTTCCCAACAGTGCTCTATTAAAAGTCACCAAAGTCTTCACCCCTAAACCCCTTGCCACTTTCTGTTGACAAATCCGCCCCCAATCCACCAAGTGATAACTAAAATCATCACCCCCACTGCCCATAGGAAATCCCTTTGTAACTTCTCAGTCTGTCGCGCCACAGACACTAGAATAACATGCACAGACATAAAGTATGTCGGGATATTGCTCAACATACTCTTGATCAGAGTTAACCCTCCGCCTTTTGAAAGATATTGCCTCTTCCAACCTGCTAACCGTCGTTGAATTCGCTCCACAACCCCGTCCCATACCCCATGAGCCTTAAACGACACCCCAAACGGCAAACCCAAATAAGTCACTAGCAAAATGGACACCTTATAGCCCAGCATCGCTGCTAGCACATGTAATCCCTCCACCTTACCCACTGGAATCATCTCAAACTTCCTCAAATTCACCCGAAGGCCTGAGATAGCTTCGAAACACAACAAAACAAGTAACCCAACTATTTTTCCACCGCCCCACAAAAGATTAGCGCATCATCTGCGTACAACAAATGGGAAACACTCATAGATGCTCCTGAGGGAGACCCCACCATAAAACCTTCCAGCAAACCTTCACGACTTGCGTTTCCCAACAATTTACTTGAGGCCTCCATCACTAGAATAAACAATAGTGGTGACAAATGGTCTCCCTGACGAAGACCTCGATATGTCTGAAAGAACCCTGCTGGAGTACCATTAACCAGAATAGACAATCGCACAATAGAAATACAAAACTGAATCCAGCGACACCAAGTCTCCCCAAAACCTATACGATCCAAAACATACAAATGAAACTCCTACCGCACATTGTCGTCGACCTTCTCAATGTCCAACTTGCAAATCACACTAGGTCGCTCCTGTCTGATTTGGGAATCCACACACTCATTAGCCACCAAGACTACATCTAAAATCTGCCGACCCCCGAAAAAGCATTTTGAGATTCAGACACTACTGTCTGCAACACCCCTCGAAGTCTATTTGCCAACACCTTAGCCAACAGTTTATATATACTCCCAAGCAAACTGATTGGCCTAAAGTCTATGATGTCCTCAACCTCCTTTTTTTTTAGAATCAAAACCAAAAAAGTCGCATTAAGGCTTTCCTTAAACTGCCCAGTCAGGAAAAAAACTTCTAATGTTGCCATCACGTCCGCCTTAACCACACTTCAACAATGCTGAAAGAAAGCCATAGTGAAGCCATCCGGACCTGGAGCCTTATCTCCACTCATGGCCCGCAAAGCCCAAAATACATCCTCATCCGTAAAGACTTGCTCTAAGGCCACACTCTCCTCAATCGAGATCATATCAAAATGAGCCCCTACCATCCCTGGCCGTCACTCCCCTTCTTGCGGTCGAAACAAATTCTGATAAAAACCCACAATCCCCCCCTTGATCTCCTCTTCATGAACCAGGTCATGCCCATCCACCCGCATTTGACTAATATGATTCATCCGACGGTGAGCATTAGTCATCTGATGAAAGAACTTTGTGTTACGATCCCCATCCTTTAACCACATACACCTAGGCTTTTATCTGAAACTCACCTCCTCTAAGTGTGAAATGCGGACATAATCCTGTCTAGCCGCCTCCTTTCTGGCAACATCATCCAGCGATAAGCCTCTGTCTGCCTCTAACTCATCCAAGGAAGATAATAAGGACATCATCGCTTGTCGCTGACCCTCTAGACGGCCGAAAACCTCCCTATTCCAGCTTTTCAGGTCCCCTTTAAGCAATTTCAACTTTTGCGCCAACATGCAACTAGGCGACCTTGTAACGACCATAGTTGTCAAATCGATATTCGAATCATGAATCAAAATGGCCATGTACCGAATCGCGAATCAAATTGAATCGTGAATCGTAAAGATTTAGTTACTTTTTCTAAATTACATAAAAAAAACATATTTATATACTTAAATATTATAAATATGAAATATTTAGATTTAAAGTAATGAAAATGTTATTTTACATGATGATCGCATGGTCTAAATAGGTAAGACGCTTCTATGGCAAGAAATGTGGGTCCGAGCCCCACCATGATCTATCGTCCTATATTATATTTATGTATTTATGATACAATTTATGTAAATTCATATCACAACATACATGTATGGCAATCCACATTCATTATAATATGATTTTATGAATGAATGATCATGAATAAAGTTCACAACTTAACAAGTTCTACACTTTTCAGAACTCTAATCTATACTTGTAAAGTAACTTGTGTCAAAAAGAGACCATACAAAACAAAAGTTAGATTAGACAAAGTTAAAAATTCCAAAAAATCCTTCATTTCTTCATTTCAATCTTCATCATCTCCAAGGTCAATATTAGAGTCATCATCTTCATCATCATCTACCATAGTCACTTCATCAAACTCTTTTTCCTCTTTCTCTTCTCCACCTTCATCAATTCAACTTCATCATCATCTTCTAATACTTTTCTTTTTCCTCTATTAGTGGCATTTAAATTTCTTGGTCCTACATTAATAAAATTAAATAAGGTTATGAATGAGCAAGTAAATGTGAAAATATAGAAACTAAATCTTTGAAATTAACTTATTTAAAATACAGAATTATACCTGTTTTTGCTAGTTGTTGCACCTTTATCATCTTCGAAGCACTCTTGGATGTCCATCCATGAATGATCTTCGGGTAGACATGGATCCTCTTTCTCGGTAATCCATTCATCATCAAATTCCATATCCGATAAATAAATAGGATCCTAAGTCTCACCCCTTTCTTGTCTCTTAATTTGCCTCAACTCAAGTTGAATGTTATACTTCACAAAAACTAAAGCATTCAACCGTTGTTGCTTCAATCGGTTTCTTTTCTTCAAGTGCACATGATCAAAAGTGCTCCAATTTCTCTCACACCTGGTGGCACTACAAGTAAGACTTAGCACTCTAATAGCTAACTTTTGAAGCTCTTTGCACTCTTCTCTATAACTTTCCCACCATAGAGCTGTAATTAAATGATAAAGAGATGTTAGAGAATAATGCATGCCAACATAATTGTTGTGAAATTGTGAATATACAATTTCATAATCAAAAAATTTACCGTGTCGTTTCTTTTTCCTTGTCAAGATAACCATGCTCATACCAAACATATCCTCGGCTTTCTTGAACGTTTCTAATTGCTCATCAATCTTCACTCTATCCTCAATATTCGGATATATCCTCTCAATGGTTTTAAATAAACCAATTTTCACCTCTGTATCTGCAGTGAAGTTTTCTTGATAATGAAACCTAGAAAGAAAGATGACTTAATAAATAAATAAATTCCATTACACATTTTGTATATAAGTCACACAATACAACACAAATAATTAGAGAAAAAGAGTAAAAAAACTTACATCGGATTAAGGTAATATGCCGCAGCATGAAAAGGCCTGTGGAGTTGTAAATCCCATCTAGTATCAATAATTTCCTAAATGCGCTTATATCTACCCCTCACATGGTTCAAGTTTGAAGCAATTTCTTCCTTCGCTCTATCCATAGCTTCATAAACAAATCTCATTACCGACTTTGCATCACCATCCACAAGCCTCAAATTTTTCACCAAACGGAGCACGTACTTTAAGCAATACTTGATTGCTTTCCAAAATCTAGCATCTCCCAAGATTGTTCCTTGTGCCTTTTTTGCATTAACAGATGTAGAATAGCTGCTTCTAGCCCACTCTTTTGATGCAAACATAGCTCTAAGTTGAAGCTTTCTATCTTGGAAACTTTTTAAAGTAAGGAAGGTGGTAGCAAATCTAGTAACCGCGGGTCTTGTCGACTCTGTATTCTTTGTACATTTTCTAAACAAATCAAGCACCTAAGCATGCCTATAAATGCACACAGCGATTTCCTTAGCTTTAATTATTGTATCTTTGAAAACCGTTAACTCACCTATGTCACTTAACATTAAGTCAAGGCAATATGCTGCACATGGGGACCAAAACAATTTAGTCCTCTTCTCTTCCAATAATCTACCGGCACCTATATAGGGTGATGCACTATCGGTTACCACTTGAACCACATTTTCTTCCCCAATTTCATTCACAATGTCATCAAGCATCTCAAATAATTTCATAGAATTTTTAATTGCACCGGAGGTGTCTATTGATTTAATAAACACCGTTCCACTTGGATTATTAACAAGGAAATTAGTAAGAGAGCGAGACTTTCCATCGGACATTATAGTGCAACCCGTCTTCTTCCATTCCTTTCTATACACTTCTAAACTTGTGTTCACATGATCAACCTCTTTTTTCAAAAATAGATACTCTCACTTCATGATAACTAGGTAGTTTCAATCTCACACCATACTCACCAACCGACTTCAACATCTTGTTAAATAAGGGGCTTTTCACTAAATTAAAAGCCAATGCATGCCCATAAATGACTCTACAAATATCTCTAATCACGGGCTGTCTTTACTTCACCATTTGATTCAAACTTTGTTGCTTTGCCCTCCCCTTTGTGACATATGCATCCATAGTTCCCCCTTTACTTTTCCCCTCAACATTTTTTTCTTCAAAACAATCAACATCTATAATATTGTCTTGTTTTTTTCCACTTAACAATTGTGAAGACATATTCATAATATCTTCAGAAACTTGACTACAAACACCAACATTATCATGAGTTCCGGCTAAATGATTTTTCATTCGAATCACCCCACCCCAGTAATCTTTTCCACAATAATTACATCTCAAATGCATTCTATTATCATCTTTGACACAGGTACAATGGTCCCATGTCGGATCTTGTTTCCCACTTTTTTTTTTTCTTCCTTTTCATATTTTTTTTATCCATTAAAGAAAGCAAAATATTTTTTTAATGTCCCACCTAGCACAGCAGCAGCTTCAATGCTTCTACAATCCACAATAGACAATAAAGTAATGGAAAAAGAAAAGTATAAAGTTAATATAGCATTTTATATTACCTATATGAAGTTTGTCTGGTAGTAACTCAAACAAAATTGAAGACCCAAGAAGAGACAAACTTTAATAAAGCTTTGAAGACAACACGAAGGACCACAAAGCAGATTCCAGCAGCAAGGGGCCACCAAATAGTGAGAAAGACCACGAAGCACTGCGTCGAACAGAGAGGTGAGTCTTTCTAGGGTTTTGTCTGTTAGGAGTAAAAAGAGACCATGGGTTACCTTGGTTGGACTGTCGTTTGGTCTTAGAAGATGAGGCGACCCATTTTCTGCCAAGAAAAAGCAAAAAAAATGGGCCAAAAATCGAATTTTCTTCCTTTGGGTTCGAGAAAACTGGGTCGACCCGCGATTGTAAGGAATTATGCGATTCAGCGATTCATTGATTCGTTTCGTGAATCGATCGATTCAGCTGCAATTCTGTGCCATTTGCGATTCCATTTACTTGTTTGAATTGATTTCTATGTGTATCGAAACGAATTGTATGATTCGAATCGCGAATCGTACGATTTTAACAACAAAAGTAATGACATAAGAATTCCACCACCCTCGGGCCGTCTCCAAGAAACCCTTTGATTTCAACCACATGTTCTCAAAACAGAAAGGCGTTGGGCCACTGCGGAGTCCCCCACTATCAAGTAAAAGTGGCCAATGATTAGACACTAGACGAGACGAGCGAATTTGAACAACATCCGAAAAATGTTCCTTCCAATCGTTAGAAATCAGAAAATGATCAATTCGAGACAAACTCTGCCCATTCGACCAAGTGAACCTCCTTCCTTGGAGCGACAAGTGAATTAGCTGCATTTCATCAATGGAAGAGTAGAAACTTTGCATGGAGCCTAACTCCCGAGAACTCCCCACCTTTTCCATTGGCCACCTAGTCATGTTGAAGTCACCCCCTACACAATAAGGCTCTAACCAACGAAAATGCCACAGCCTCTAACTCTGAAAAGAACTCCCTTCGATCCTCGTTCCGCACCGGGCCATACACTCTCGTGAACACCCATTGGAACTGATCCGCCACACACCTAAATAGAGAAAACACTAAAAAATTTCCCATCTCCTCATCTTCTTTCACAACCACCCTCGAATCCCAAGATCAGCACACCACCCGCCGTGCCCACTATCTGTAAATGTAATCATTCTACAAATCTGGCTCTCCATATTTCATGCACAACCTCCATCTTTGTCTCCTGCAAGCACACCATATCAGCTTTTGTACTTCGCATGACTGCCTTCACTGCTACCCGTTTATCCCTATCATTCAATCCCCACACATTCCAAGACATAATTTTTAACTTCATTTCAACAACAAAAGATCCCCTTGACGTCTCTGTGAATCACGATCCGGCCTTGCTCCATCCTGTTCATAATTTATGGAACACACTAAATTCCGTAACTCTCGTTTCCCTTTACGACTAGTATCTGCCACGGGAACCACTTCTTTACTAGAAGACCCGTTTCGCCACGATGCCTCAACTACTGAAAATAAACGTAAGGCTTCCTCCTCATGTCCTTCGAACGACAGATCCAATAACCGATTGACCTCAGTTATGCATTCCAGCACCCAATCTGATACGTCCTCAGCTGTAGGTACCTCATTCCTTCCCAAGACATTGCTGTCATCAAACTGCACCTGTGTTGGACCCATCGGTCCGTCCTAGTCGCCACCATCTACAGCCAACGGCTGTAATACCAGTGCCAATTTATTTTGATCCTCTGTTTTGGCTTTAGCCATGGCTCCTCAAGACAGACCGTCACCTGGTTCAAGCCTTGCTCGCCTCTCCCAGTCTCCAAAATTGGCAAACTCATGTCGACAACTTCGACTGTCATCCCTCCTGTAACGCCCTCAAAAAAGAACCCATCATAACATACATTCACGATAAATAAAAGAGATTTCATATTATAATCATCAGAGTATTCTTACAAAATGTATTACATGTTGACAACAAAAGTAAATGCCCTATAGGCTTACAACTTTCCAAGCCAACACTTGGTTACAAAAAGAAGAGTACTAACTCTACACAAATTAAGCCCTTGGCCTGATATACATGTAATACAACAAAAATAACAAAAAAAAAAAAAGAATCAGATAGCCTCAAGCCTCCCAAGCTACGTCCTTGGAGGTGGCATAACACCTGTACTTGAAAATGATGTCCCATATAGGGTGAGCCAATGCCCAGTAGAGATATGCTAAACATAATATGAGTAATAACTAAAACATTAATACTTGATAAATGTCTAACTAATATAACCAATCATGCAGTACATTCCAGTTCCATAATCCTTCACTTAACAAAACTCAACTTATAAACATGGCTCAGAACCTGGCCAGACAACTTAAGCGAGACTACATCTCAAGCCAACAATACTTCAAACTACCATTTCATGGAAATCATGTCCGCGGGATTCGGCACCCATGTGTAATTATTTTCCTATGGCCATTTTATGGAAATTTCGTCCGCGGGACTCAGCACCCATATATAGATGTTTTCGGATTGCCATTTTACTGAAATTTCATCCGCGGGATCTGGCACCCATGTATAGATGTTTTCGGATTGCCATTTTACGGGAATTACATTTGCGGGACTCGACACCCATGTGTGATTATTTTCGAATGGCCATTTTACGGAAATTTCATCCGCGGGATTCGGCACCCATGTATTCAAATACTCAACTTGATTAGTTTTAGTTCACCTAATCATCATGCAATGTCTATAACAATCAAGACTATCCTCCACCGATAGCCTAAAGCAGTTATTTCTAAACAGATAATAAATGCACAAACAGGTAAATTATCGACAATTCTCAAAGATGAGTGATTATTAAATCCAACTCCACCATTCTACTACATAATGAGCCAATTTCATTATTTCCAACTCAATTTCATAAATTAACTCATAGTAAAAATTAGGGCTTTCTCTCCATTTTTCTCTACAATGACCCAAAGGTCCCAAATATCCTCAACAACAACAACAACAACATCATTTTAGGACCCAAGATACACATTGGCGCTGTTTGGGAAGCTGCCAACGAGGCTATTATAGCCTCATTTGATAAATAAGCCAAAAAGTGGCACTGTTCACAGTTTTTTTTCACATTTTTTTTTTTTAAAAAAAAAAAAAAAAAAATAGGCACTGCGCTGGACAGTGTAGGCTGTGCCTACACTGTCACAGCCAGAAATTGATACATCAATGGGAAAATTATCATTTTGCCCCTTTATATCAATTTAAAAAATAAAAAGTTAGGGACAAATTTGTCATTTTAAATTTAAACATCATTTCAACACACTTTCCAATACAAGAACCCAACTAAAAATTCATCTCATCTTCCCAAACACAAAACTAAAATAGCCTACTAAAATAGCCAAAAAGCCAAATAGCCTACTAAAATAGCCACTTCCCAAACGAGGCCATTATGAACCAAAACAACAAAACCCCTCCTTATACAATTTGAAACCCTAACACCCAAAATCACCCAACATCAACATTATATCAAAATGACTAAAAATTTATGTCAAAGACCATAAGAATGAGTAGTTATCCTTACCTCAAATTCGGAGCTCAAAGGTAGAGGGTGAAGAAAACTCGAAGTGCTCAAAACCAAGAAATTTTCGGATCAAAGTGAAGCCCACGCCAAGCACAATACTTTTTACAAAGGGACAAAGGTGAGAGATCACTCTAACTAGATCAATACCTAGAGAGAAGTTGGGTTTTAGAGAGAGGTGCTCTCCAATGGAGGTTTTGAAAAAGTAAGAGAGAGAAAAGAAATCAAAAAGTGATCCAAAAAAGTGAAACTCAGACTGATATACAAGTCGCTCCGCTAGAGCGTGAAAACCCCCGCTCGAGTGTCAGACACAGACTCACGCTCGAGCATCAAAACGCCCGCTTGAGCGTCGGATGCACACTCACAGAAGTTTTGCAGGCGATGGTCCCCGCTCGAGCGTCAAACTCTCCGCTCGAGCGGAGGAACAAAATCAAAGGGTCACGCTCGAGCGTCAAAACTCCCGTTCGAGCGTACGAAGACTTGCGGAGAAAAATACTAGGAGATGGAAATTTACGCTCGAGCATCAAAACGCCTGCTCGAGCGGAGAAACAACAACAAAGGGCCCGCTCAAGCGTCAAAAGCCCCGCTCGAGCGTGAAGGCCAAAATCTGGGCATCAACTTTTAGTTTCAAAGCATAACCAACCTGTTTCAAACCTGCCCAACACAGCCCAAGACTCAAATACGAAGAGTAAAGGATGGAAATGAGAATGAGACAATAACACATCCACGGAACCGGGTCCGGAATACAATACATAAAGAGAAGAAAAACCAGGATCGCTATACCTCTCCACACCTTGTCGTCTAGATGACCCCCTATCCCTACCTCGACGCTCGACGTCGCCGCCATCTAATTTGGACCTATTTCTATACTGACGCTGCCGAGGCCTTCGGTAGAAAACATTAACTTATCGAAAGACCCATTTCCAAGGTTCGTCGGCAATCCATCTCCTTCGTCAGCGATGACCCCTACCCCATTCTCGCTGACGTCTCTGCTATCGTGCCCGTCTTCAGCCAGTACTCCCCCACACTGGCGCATAAGGATTCAAGAATCCGTTGCACTGGGGAATCCGTTGCCTGACCCGCAAAAGGCAAATTGGGCCCAGATAGTAGGAGCCCCAAACCAACCCTAGGATCATGCCCCAATTCATTATTGGCCTTAAACCCTATAGAAGTTGAGCCCAGCATATCAACTTCCTCAACGAGCCTCTTAACTTCCCCACCATAGGCCCTAACTTTATTACCTTGGCCCACTGGGCCCAGTCCCAACGGCTGCTTCCTTGGGCCCTCCAGCCTTGAAATATCCTCTGACTCTTAAAAGGCAAGAGTCGTTGATCACGCCTTTGATTGTCCTTAAATCTCTGAAAATCTAATATGATCCCAAATCTCCTCTAGTTCCGTCGATTACGCATCCAATCACGACCTTTCTTCTCCTATCGCAGCCCTCCCATCGTCCCTCCCCATGGCATATCAACTTCCACCGTCGGCCCTTCCTCCGGCCAGATAGGGATCGAAAAGGCTGACATTGCCCACCGTACCAAAACCTTAGATGGAATGCAACCACCAATTTTGACCCGCAATCGAACCACCCCAAGGTCCGCCGACAGTTCGGTCGCCTCCACAAAACCGCCACAGTGTTCGCTAATAGCACGTTACGTCCTCTCGCTGCAGAGATGTATGGGTAGGCCCACCACCGTCACCCAGGCATGGGGTCCTTTTCCCGACACTTCCATCTTCTGACACAAAACAGTCGGTGACCATCCAACCAGATTCAAATCACACCCTGCAATCACCCACCGCCGTGGTATCAGAGTCTTGGCTTGTTGACTCGTCGGCAACACAAACAAGTAATCTTCGCCTTCTATTGGTCAGATTTCCACGTCCCCGAATGCCTTCCACCACCGCTTGACCCATTCTGTCATGACTGAGAAACTAACCCCCTTATCCCCCTTAAAACCCACCCTATCTACTAACGCCCTGTTCAGTAAACAGAACCACCCTTCCTCTGCCACACCCTACACCACCTCAACTCTGCCATTTGGGCCAATTGTCCCCCAAATTATTGGAACAACCCTTTTCGCAGTCATTAGCCCCTTATTCCCATTATCCTCACCACCCTTGGGCACCATTTCAATCCTTATAGCGAATTCTTCAATAACCAGTGCTACCCCCTCCCATCTATCTCCAAACTCCGACATAGGAAGGTAAACTTGAGTCCTTTTGCCATCCGTCGTCACCACTATCTGCACCGACGATCTACTATTCTCCTCATCGTGAATCCAGGTTGCCATACTCCATCTATTCCCGTCTAATTGACCTAAGAAAGATTAACGGTCTACCATACGGGACACTACCCTCATCTTCGTACTCATCCATTGTACTTCAAACCCTGTCAGCACCACCTCCCGCCGCAATCCTTGCCCATGCTCCACAATGGACAATTGACGATGGCCTCTTGGATCCCCTGCCGCTTCTTCAAATTCAAAGGAACGTCCTCCAAGGAAAAGGATTCAACGACGTGGTCCATTAGCCGCCTGCACCGGAAACATCCTAGGTAACTGACACAACATGTCGGAAACTTTCTTCATAAGGAAAGTCTTAGAGAGAGAATTTCCCCTACAATTAAATTTTTTTTATTAATTCCTTTGTATATACTTTTGAACATTCAACTTTCATTTATGAAATATATGACGTTATTCCATTCAATATGTGGTTGTAATTCAAAAGACAATATATTGCGTGTATTACATTCTTCAAATGTATGTACAAAAATAATATTGATTATTCTTCAAATATGTTGAACTTTTTTTTTATCACACACATTAACTATGATGAGAAATGCATATAACGCATGATCTTATCTCACTATTAATCATAGGTTTTATTAGATGTTAATCACACTTAAAATTTGTGATCTAAATGTTTATTATCATAGGTTTTATTAGTTATTAATCATACTTAAAAGACGTCATCTAAATGTTATTAATCACACTTAAAAAAGTAATCTAAATATTTATTATCACACGCAACACATGTGATGGAATTATCTTTTAATGGCACTTAAAATGTATGATTAAAAATGACCATTTTTAATCACACTCTCAAATATCACACTTTGAAAAAATTTAAAACGTGTGATTAAATAACATACATCACACATAAAAAGTGTGATATATTTAGAGGTTGTTTAGGATGATCTAAATAAGTACACTTTTTAACTTTTTATGAAATATGAATTAGATATGAGATAAATTTAAAGTGATGTGATAGAGAAGTAATATAATTTAAATACGATAATATGACTTAAATAAGGTAATAAATTTTTAACTTTTATAGGTTACGGCAAACAAGACCTTATAATTTTGTAGTACGGCAAACAAGACCTTATAATTTTGTAGTAGTGTAAGAAATTTTCATCTCCTCTCTCTTTCTATGCACTGTCTATTTCTGCAAATCAATACTGGGAGATTGTGAGAGAGAAGAGAAAGAGAATGGAAGCCATTGAACTAGTATACATAAATAAATATATCTTCAGTTTTGGAAAGGCAGAGAAGAAACGAGAACCCTTATCTCATCTCTTGTCTCTCTCTCTTTGAACTTTGAAGACGACGAACGGCGGGAGGCGTGATAGGCAGGGACGTTGACGGCGGTAAGCGTTGACGTTGATGATTACCAAGGACCTAGAGATGTCGACAATTGGCAGTTACTCAGTGAGGATTTCATCTAATCGACGTTCATTGATCTCCGACAGAGACAGTATCTACTCTTTCCGTTCATTCTTCGATTGGTCTCATCTTCTCCTTTCCTCTATATCTGAAATATTCCCTGAGACTTTGTATTTTGTAAATTGTAATCTTCTCTAATTCGCCAGAAAAAAATTTGGGTTTCGTTTGTTTGTAAATTAAGACGGTGTAAAGCATGATTAGATTCATAATCAAAAGAAATTACCAAAGCAAATACACAAATTACTCACCCAACAATCCATCAAGTTCCTAATTGGCAGAAGGTAAGTATCAAAGAACTCTCTTTATTTATATTTGTATCCTTTTGTTTTTGTTTTTTAATGGATTTAAAACTAATATGGGTGAGAGTATTTTTGTATTTTTATTATTAATTTTGTTAATTGACATAGATCCTTTTGAACTCTTGGTTTTCTTTAGTGGGTTTTTGATTTTTTGTGCTAGTTTTGAATGTTGAGTTCAATCCTTTATATTGGCCATTTTGGGTCTCTGTTTTCTATAAGATGGTCTCTGTTCAAACTATTAGAAATTTGTGTGATGATTTTTCTAGAATTTTTTGAATTAACAATCTCATTACTCAAAACTGATTACATGATTTGTGGTAAAGAAAAGGGTAAGTGGAAATTCTTTTTGTATTTTTCTAATTTTGTTATGTTTATTTGTAAGTGGAAATAATGGAAGTTGAATTATTTTAGGTTGTACTTGCAGACTTTGAATCAGGGTTTAGTAAATAGTCAACAAATGTTCCTTCTTATAGAGAACGATAAATAAGATAGAGTCTGCAACTATATTGAGCCCATGATATATATACTATAGCAGGAAAAAGAGTGATCTTCTAGGATGTTTGGTAGGTGTCTTAGGCGATGCAACTTAAATGTTGTGTGTGTGAGAGAGAGAGAGAGAGAGAGAGATGAATATAATGAAATTCCATGCACGTAGGAGATTAGTACTATTACTATCTTTCAGTTTGATGCTTTCTTCTTTTTTTGTTTTTTCCTAAACTTTGAATTGTAGGTTTTGAGTTGCAGTATGGAAACCAATATGAGAAGAAGGTTTACACACACACACACACACACACACACACACACACACACACAAAACCCAATATGAGGAAAAGACTATTGTATCTTTGATTTGTGTCAAAGTGTTTGTGTTATTTTTGTTCTAATTTTTTTGGAGGGGTTTAGGCAGATGTGAGTGGAATTTTTATTTTTATTTATATTTATTTATGGATCAGGCAACAAAGAGGCACTTGACACTGCAAATTGAGAACTTGGATGGAAAACGTGATGAGCAAGTGGAAATATAAAAGTTAATTAAGAATGAAGTACATTCAAAAACGGATTATTTCCCTTATGGTATACTGCATAGCATAGAATAAAGTATTTGAAATGCTACTTTTGACTTTGAGTGGGACTGGGAGAAATAATTTGGGTCAGCTTTTCATGAATTATGAGGCAAATCAATGAATCTGATTATGATTTAAAAATGATTCAGTAATAGCATAAAAAGAAGTTCTGACTTGTGGAACAAGCTACTGATGTTCATGGTGATCTTTCTCAAATTGGCTTTGACTTGGATGCACTATAGAGAATGGTTTGTGGCTTGGTGAGTTTTGTCTCAAAGTTTTTTAAATGATTCAGTGTAACCCATTCAACATAAATGATAAGTTTTTCAAGATATAAATGTGACTTGTCTCATTTTAATTCCGCTACTTGGATATTGAGTTTGTGAACTGTGCATGCAATAAATATCCAACTATTTTATGATTTTCATCTCTTAAACATAATGAAATTTTAGAAACTTTTTTATTTTTAAATATTCATGGGGGTTATATATATGTTTAGGAATTTTTAGAATTAATTTCGTCGAGAATTTTGGTAAAAATTAAGTGTGAACCTTGTTTTTATTAGTTTATGTATGATTTTTCTTGTTTGATTCTATCAAAATCATCACAAACTGTGGAAACAATAACTGAATTTCATGAGTATTGTGGCCATATTTTTGGTTCTCTATTTTGTGTACTTTGTCCCATTAATTAGAGTCAAGTAGTTGGGTTTTGAGCTATTGTTGGGTTTTATTAAGTTGACTTTATTACGAGAATCACCTTTTGGCTTAAATTGTTCAACACAAGTTTGGTTCTGTTGGCAATTTATTTCGAGTAAAAAACAGGACGTTTTCCATATACATTTATTTATTTTTTAATTCCCCACATGCTCTTACAAACTAGTTTATCTCATGGTTACCCAAAAAATACATTTTAAGCTAAAATTTGATCAGGAAATTGGATGTGTATTGGTCTCCAATAAAACTAAAAGGTAGTAATTGGAAATCATATTGTCACAATAGTCATTGAAAGATAAGAATCATGATCCTCCCTAAATATGTTTTCTTTTCATTTGTGTTTGATCCAGGCTAAGGTTGGTTGCATTTTTTTTCATGATAAATTTGTTGCTTAGCTTGACATTTGATAAAAGCAGCGCATCTTATAGTGCTTATATTCTTAGGTTGTTGACCAAATGATCGAGGAAATGGACTGTTGATTCTTTTTTAAGTCCAAGTGTTTGTAATCCCTTAGTATGACACCTTGAATCTTTTCCCCTTGTTTACATTTATTATGGTACATTGGTATGTCTTGCCATTTTGACATTTAATGTTCAATGTATGTTGTCACTGCTTTTCCACAGCATGGAGTTTGGTTTAAGATTCATTTATATCTGAAACTATAAGATCTGGTGCTTCCCTTTTGTATGTCCAGAGGACCAGCTGATAAAGACAAACCAAACAAACATACTAATTAGGTCTCTTGTGCTTAAGAAACAGAAAGGGGGATTCCAGTTCAAAGGATGTTAAGAGTGCAGCTGCAAGTGAAGCTTATAGAAAGAGGTGTTTAGCTCCATTCTTTCTTGGACAATTTACAAATGATGTTTGTCACTTCTATATGTGATGCTTAATGCTTGTTGCTTTCTATTTTCATGTTTGGCATTTTTTTTGGGTGTTTTTGTGATGTCTGATAACTCTCGTTAGAGTTTAAATCCCATTTTCCTTATCTGTCAAATGTTTGATAAAATGCATCAATGATGGCCTACTGTGATTTTGTTTATTGGGTCCATTTTTTAAACTTTTGGATCTTTGAGAATATAATTTAGGAGAATTTTGAACTCAAATACAATGCTTACTGTCTTTTTCCATGTCCAATTATTTACACCGGAGACTTAGTTTCAATAATTTTTTTTCCCCTTTCTAATTCCATTCAATTCTTATACAAATTGTTTTTCTAGTTTTGATTCACTCTTTGCTGTTGTGTGTGTATGTGGTCTTTTTTACTGGAAGAGATTATATACGTATTTCTGAGTGTCTATGGTAAGAGATTATATATGAATAATATATGTATCACTTTGGAATAATATATGTATCATTTTAACCCGCTGTATGGTTATTGAGATGTTGGAATATTGAATGTACATCATTTATTGAAACTTTAGTTACTCTTTAAAACAACATCCATTCTCAGAAGTGTTACTGTAAACTTATTAGATTCTTCAAAATCTTTTGATTAGCTGGATTGTATGAATGCTTGCATTTGCTGTGTTATTTTGTTTGCTTGGTGGGAATTTGACTTCTTAAGCCTGTTGTCGTAATTGTTAAGATTTCCTTTGTTGTATTTTCTAATGTTTGTAGTATTGCTCGTCTCAAGAAGCTCAGTTATGGCTCAACATCGACAACTAGGACCCTACCCTCGTCTCTCAGAAGGTCTGTACCGATGTCTACAATGGCGTCACCACCAGCCAACTCGATGAATTGGCCATTGAAACTATTACTGCCATGACTGCTAACCATCCCAACTATGCTTCTATGAGTTTCATTCTGAAAATTAGGATTGTAGCTTTTAATCTGAGATTATTGATTTTTTTTTTTTTTTTAATCCAAGTTTCTTTCTCAATCAATATCTTTCCTTTCTGTACTAACTGATTCCTCTTCTCAAAGCAGATATAAGCTTTCACATGCCCCCTTTTCCTTCATTTTCTGGTTTGGTTATTGATCTGACTATTGGTTAATTAATCTTTAAAAAGATGATATTTGTGTGAGATTGATGAAAATAATTACAGCTTAAGACCAGCAAGGTAGGTTTTTTTTTTTTTTTTTTTTAATTGGCAAAAGTTAGCGGTTAGTTGTTAGATTGGCACATTGGGAGAGTTGAACTCACACCTTCTCATTGCAAGCACTTCAGACTTACCTTCTATTTGTAAACAATAATCAAAAGAGAGAATGAGAGGTAAAGAGCTGATAAAAATTGGTGTAATGAATATTCCTCAAGCACACAGAAAAACAACATGAATGCATACATAGGTGCAAACAATATGCACGTGTCTGCTTGCCTCTACATGCACAAAGTGAGATAGAAGGGAGTTGGGAAGGTGATTAAATTTAAATGTGGGACAATCTTGAATTATGAGTTGATTTGAGTGGTGATAGAAGCCTTGTTGAATGGAGAAGGACATTGCCACCTCCAAACAAAAACAAAAAAAAAGAAAAAAAAACTTAATAGAGCACCTTACTGGTAAAAGGATTCATAGAGTCAAAGGACAAACACAGAATATTTTACATATTATACTATATTTTTTTGTTGGATGCTGTTATTTCATGTGTTAGACCCAGTTAAATTGATAAATATGTACTTAATTTATCTATAAAATGTGATTGGATGGCTCAGCATCATTCATACTTTCAAGCATGACTAAAATGATTTAGGTGGTACAAGCAAAGAATTAATGGACTAACAGAAAAAGAGATTGACAAGACTGTGGAGTGATATTATAGTTGTTAATCATTCTAACAGCAGCTTTGTCAACTTTTATTTGGATAATGTTGAAATTAGGATTGGCAATGGTGAAAGAATCAGCTTCTGGGTAGATAATTGGATGGGAACCAATTGTTTGAAGTCCCAATTTCCTAGACTTTATTACTTATCAGTGGACAAAAACACAACTTTGAATCTGTAGGTGACTAGGGCCAGAAACCAAAGCAGTTGGGAATTCAACTTCAAAAGACCCTTATCAGCATGAGAGGAAGAAGAACTGCACAGACTACTTGATGTTATAGGTGAGGGCCCTGCATTGAGATTGGAGTCAAATGATAATATTTGGTGGAAAGCTAATTCTTCAGGTATTTTCAGTGTTAAATGTGCTGTAAATTGGTGCGAATCATTGAATGGTCCTACTCTGAAACCTTTTGACTTGATTTGGAACAATCCCTCCCCATTTAAAACCTAATTTTTCTCTTGATTGGCCTGGAAAGGGAGGATTAAGACCTCAGATTACTTATATGGAATTGGTGTTCTTAGTGATGATGTTAGATCTGAGTGTGTTATGTCACTCTGAGTTTGAATCACTCAATCATGTTCTGTTGATTTGCCCCTTTGCTTGGAAAGTTTGGTCCAACAAAATCAATTGGTGGGGTTTGCAGTGGGCCTCTCCTAGTTCAATGGACATGCTAATGCACTGGTGGATGGGTTGGAATTTTAGAAAAGGAGAAAAGCAACCTTGGAGATCAATTATTATGGCTGGTGTATGGTCCCTTTGGAAATGTAGGAATGATTGTTTGTTCAATGAGCTGCAACCAAACTGTGAAGATCTTTGTGAGCTAATTAAAGTAAGAGTGGACCTTTGGATGAAAACACACTCGGTGGGGCAAGGCTACGGGGTGGATGATTTTTGTCTACAACATTTAACAAGTGAAGAGGTGCATCTGCTAGAAGATGATCAGAGAAGGCTTTCAAAACAGAGTTTGGAGTGAAACTAGTTGCTGTTAGTTGTTGATACTGCTAGTGCTGTTGATTGTTTTTGGCATCAAGTGATTTTGGTGTTGCTTTTAGTGTTGTTAGTGCTGCTGCTAGTTGCTGTTTTTGGTGCTGCAGAGCTGTTGTTGATGTTGCTGTTGTTGCTGTTAGTTGTTGTTTTTGGTGCTGATTTTGGTGTTGATGTTCTGTTTTGGTGTTGTTTGATATGTTAATTGTTGTTTTTTTCTTGGCTTTGGTTGGTAGCTCACTAATTCTTGATGGCGTGCTAGCAAATGATTGAGCGGGGATATTGGTGCCAACTTAGTTGAGATTGGTATGGCAAAGAGGCAACTTATGAAATTTTTGTAGAAGTTGGAAATAGAGCTATCCTAGGCAAAAATTAGTGCTAAGTGCTAACTTTATAATTGTTATTATGAAGTAATCAAATCAATTTAATTCATGCAGGTATGAGTCGCTATCTTATTTTCTTGGAAGGGAGTACTTTATCTATGCTTATGACCAAATATATGCTCTTTCTCCTGATGTTGTTTCAAACTTGGTTGCTCTAAGAAGGGAAGTTTTTGCAGACGAAATCCAAGCTGCTCAGAATTTTCTAATATAAAGATATGGAGGGCACAAGCTGAGTGTTGATACAATTGAATCAACCCATGATGGTGGACTCGCAAGAAGATATTTTGTTGTAATTTTGTACTATTTAGAATTTAAAGATAGTTTTTGTGTGTATGTGTGTGTGTGTGTGGATGATTTAGATCTTTTTGGACGATTTTGAAGTTGAGGACAATTTTTGATGTTTGTAAACATAGTTTTTGGATGGTTTGGAATGTACGGGCAGTTTTGGATGTTCGAAACTTATGAATAATTTTTTTGATATTTGAAATAATATTTTGATGGTTAATTGATACTTATATATATACATATATGTGTGTGTGTGTAACTTGTTTGTAATGTTTTTTTAGACTGTACAAAATAGGTGAAATAGAACATGTTGAATTAAAAAAATAAAATAAAAAATAAAATTACATATTCTACGATGGGCAAAATAGGTCGTTGTGTTAAATATTTAATGACTAGTAATAAGTGTCGTGGTTTGTCTCTTGAATTAATGATGCGCAAAGTATTCGTAGAAAAATTAATCATGACGTATAAGATTAACTGTTAAAAGTTTTTAATGGCATGCCGTAGTATGCCGTTGAAAGTGAATAATTTTCCATGACTAATCATAATACGATTTTATTTTTCGCATTATAGAATTGAATCCATGACGTGCATTTGGTGCCGTAATTTTTTTTTTTGTTTTTTGTTATAGTGAATGTATTAGGTGTCTATGTCTTTTTCTTTTGTAAAATGATGTAGTTTCTTTCTGTAAACTTACTTTATGAATGCTTTTATGCTTTATGAGATTATAGGGAAAAAAACTGTTTGGACCTAGAGTATCAATGAACTTTGAACACACGAAAAAATTGTCCTGGCGTGAAAGTTAAAGGTATGATTCCCGCAACTTTATTGTTAACTAAACATGAAAAAATTATGTTTCATATGATTTATTTTCTTTCTTAACAACTGGATGAGGCCATTTGTATTCTGGATAGAGGAAGGATGATTTTGGAATAGAGAATCATTACTCACAAATAGATACATGTATGCTTTATATCATTGTCTATAGATTAAAAAGTGTAAAAAAAATGTAAAAATTAAAAACAGCCAGTTTAAGGAGGATGTGATGAAATTACATCTTCTTACCTATGCTTCATATCATCGGAATGGCTATAGGTTTTTTAAAATTCACGTTACTTGCATACACGTGCATTTGAAATTTTAATTGGTTAAACTTTTTTTATTTTCAAACATTGTCAACAATTTCAGAATTGGGCCCAAGTGTTGGTGAAAGCCAAATGTACGATAATTTGTTGACAAGTTATTTGGTTATATATCCTAGCGTAATAGTTTTGTAATATTTTTTCACATTTTATATTCATAGAAATTAATATAAGATTTTTCTTCTTTGTTATAATATTTTTTTTTTGTTACGTAAACATTTGCTTTCTCAATGTTAGAATCCTACGTACTACCAAAAAAGAAAAAAAAAAAAATTGACTGTTAAGAACAAATGAAATAAACAGAAAGCAATTATTTTTCAATATTTAATAAAGTTACACATAAGACTTTGAGGTATTACATAAGAGGACTTATTACATATCACTCCATGAAATTACACACACTATGACAAAGGAAACAAGACAGAAGTTATCACATTTGCAATGTTACCCCTCTCTTCCACACCTTCGTAATATGTTTTATTAAATATTACTTTAATAAGATAGAAGTTACCGTGAAATGCACTTGCACCACACACTCTTATTCTATGACTCATGAAATGAGCAAAAAGCCATAGAGAGGGCTAGGAAACAGAAGTTTTCTAGGGGCATTGGAAGCCAGTAGGAGTAGTTTTGCCACAATTATTAAGAATCAAGCTCAATGCAACAGGGATGTTGAGGATGATGCCCAAAACGTTTGCCTTAATCGCAGTGCAAAGGCAAACAGCAGCCTCAAGGTCAGCAAGGCCTTGAATGAGACGGCAGCATGGTGTTACCGGAGGTGCACCTATTATAACATTAACCAATCCACCGAGCAAATTGGCACAGACACCTAGTTTTAGGGCATCCATGGGGCAGGTGCCAGTGGAAGGGCTCGGAGTTGGAGGTGGAGGGCTCTGAGTTCGAGGTGGAGGTGGAGGTGGAGGTGAAGGTGAAGGTGAAGGTGGAGGTGGAGCACACTGTGCACTTGCAAAGGCAAAGAAGAGAAGGTTGAGCGAAAAAAACAAGGCAAGTGATGCATTATTGCTCTTGGAACCCATCTCTCTCAAAGCCTTAAGAAGAAAAATAACAAAACTTTCTAGACTGTTGATGGTAGAAATTAGCAATTTCTAAAAGGGTAATTGTGATGGTGGAGAAAATATGAAGGGAAGAGTGGGTTTTTATAGGATGCGAGGAGGGTTAGTCCTTGAATTGAAGTGGGGGAAGGCAAAAATACCATGTGACTTGCAATAAAAACTCTATTCATTTTTTTTTTCCGTCTATTTTATGCGCTCATGTATTTTAACCAGATCAATAAATAATATATTTTTGTAATATATATATATATATATATTTATAAATTACAGATTATGACATGTATGTACAGTTATAAATTTAGCAAAGGAGCATTGACTAATAAATCCTAAAATCATAATTTAAAAACCAACTAGTTCCATAATTATTTTAATGAACACACAATTCTTTATTTATGCAAATTGACACATTGGTCACTGTTTTTATGATATGGTCAATTTGAAGATTCCCTTTTTAATTTTAGTTATTTCACTACAACATATAAGAGTTTTAAAGACTAAATTTTTTAGTCTTTAAAAGTAAAAATTTTGTTGCAAAAAATATTTAGGGACCAATTTCTATCGTCGTGAGAATAGTCACTAAAATGTTGTCTTGAAAAGTAAAAAATAAGACTTTTAGCGACAAAATTTTGAAAATGTCACTAATAAATAGATATTTACGGATAAAATAATTTGGTCTCAAAATGGTTTATTTTTTGAGACAAAATTTGGTCCCAAAATGATAATAATTCATCACTAATGTCCAATTTTCATTGCTAAAAATATAATGACGACAATTTTCGCAACAAAAATATTTGGACCCTAAAAAATAATTGTCCCTAAATTTGATTTCTAAACCCTTAATTTTTTATAGTTTTATCACATTCCATATGTCACATTTCAAAAAATACACTAAATGATTTTTGTGGTCATTTGTTAGTTTGGATAAATCATATTCCACATTCAGTCTACCCAAAATATAGCATGCCCACTTTAGAAATCAAACCACATTACACATATCACATTTCAAAAAGTATACTAAAAGATTTTTGTAATTATATTTCTGGTTTGAACAAACCACATTTCACATTTAATCCACACAAAATGTAGCATGCTCATTTTGAAAATCAAATCACATTTCACATTCAATCCACCGAAAATGTTAGTATGCTCATTATGAAAATCAATCATTATGCCACATTTCAATAATCACATTCCAAAAAAAAAAAAAAAAAAAAAAAAAAAATGAGCCTAACAATCAATAAGGGCAAAAATGTCTTAACGTGACACAATAATATATTAAGAAAAATATTTGGGACCCCTTTTTTTTTCGGGACTCCCACAACCCTCTTTGGATCTCAATCATTGATTGTGTGGTCTCCAAAAAAAAAAGAATCTCAATCATTGTTAATATATTAAATAGAATCTCATAGAAAATATTTCCAAATGAACAGGGCCTATCAATCCATATGAAATAAAAACTAAAAAAACTACATGGTTTGTAGATTTTTAAAATGAGATTTTCAAGTACTCCATCTGTCCCAAAATAATAGTTCTTTTTGAAAAATTTAATTTTTTTTGATAGTACAATTATTACACTTTAAAAAATATTAATTTTTCAAAATTACACTTTGATAGTACATTTTTTTAGGAATTTTAATTGTCATAATTTTACTTTTGTGTTAATGAATTTAAAATAAAGAAAAATAGAAAATTCATATTATTTTGGTCATTAATTTTTGAAAATGAAATAATATTTTAAGATAACGAAAAATAGAATAAGAAATTAATATTTTAGAAACGATGGAGTAATTTTTTTAATTTAGAATTCAGACCACTTTGTGGTTAATCTATGAAGTAAATTGTAAAATTAATTTTATATACTGTAGTTAATATGTGATATGTATGTTAATTTTAAAAATAGAAATCAGATAACAAATTGTTTATTGTGCTTTCATGTATATGTATGAAGAACTTAAATTTAAAATTGTCATAGTCATGCTTTAATACTTTCCAACACGCTCACCCTTGGTCAAGTTGCTTTTGCTTGTTAAAAATGATAATTTCATCCGCCGTCTTGATTTTGCGGACGTATTAAATTCTGTCAACTGTTTATAGGGTTGGGAGAGTTTTTACACGGGTTAAATGTCAACACCTAGAGGGATGATGGAACTCTTTACTATTTAAAAAAAGAATAAATTATTCTTTACTTCTTTTATGTCTCGTTATTTTTTTTTATTTTAACTCTTAAAATTTAAAAAAAATTACTCATAAATCTCATATTAGGAAATGTTGCTCTATCTAATTTTGAGAGTTTTTTTAAAATCATTTAGTCCTTTTTTATATTTGATATGATATTTTTGTTTATTATATTGTATAAACATCAAGCAGTTTTAATATAACATAACGTTGATGTTTATACAATATAACAGAACATTGATGTTTAATGACGTTGATGATATTTTGATATGAACAGAACGTTGAATAAATCATAATTAATCCATAATTTAACCATTATTCTCTCTTCTCTCTCTAACCTTTCTTGTGTACACAAGAAGAACTTCGTCTGTACATGCATACCTTTTCTTCACCGCTGTTTTCTCTCTCATCCCATCCACTTTGAATTTCAACCAATTTCCTTGATTAGGTCTCTCCCGTTACCCTCAGAAACCCTAACTTCATGGCTTTGATCACCTTATAGACTTTTTTTTTTTTTTTCCTATACCCAAGGATTTTTGGGCGAGTTAATTTGACCCCCATAAAAGTTGTCAAAATTCGACGAATTCTCTCATCTGGGTCTCTCTCAATTCCCTTCAAATCTTAAGTTCTCGGGGTTTTCTAGTGATTTATAGCTTGTGATCCATATGGGTCTGAATCATCCGATGGAGGACGATCCAAAGGACGCGTTGGTGAGTCAACTCGTTGTAGCCATAAAGGAAATCTCTGGGTCGCCCGAGTGCCAGAACTCTTCTAAGAAGATGTATAACAACTTGGTTCGGAGAGTGAAGCTATTGAGCCCTTTGTTTGAGGAATTGAAGGACAGCGAAGAAGAGCTCGGACTTGAAGAGGTTTTTTGTGATGTGGAAATTACCGGTCTGTCCCAATATGGTTTTGGGTTTCCCCTCATCAATCGAAACAGAAGGGACGATTATGGAGGGTTGTATGTGTTGTTAATGTTTGTTTGTTTGGATTTTGGTAATGTTGGAGCCTCAATTTTTCATTCAAAATTAACATCAACGTTGTTGGTAAACCCTAGAACTGCGAGATACCATTTGTGAGATTACATTTCAATCGCCGACCCCATATCGAACACTGCATCTATTGACGTGTGGAGCAACGTTAGGGTGTGTGTGGAACGACATTTCACATACGATCGTCGTCGTTGACCGCCGGTTGTGTTTGGTAACCCATGGCGTCAAGTATATTCTTGTCGATGTTGTGGAAAAGTTTTCTTACGAATCTGTTGATATTAAATCATAAGTTGTGTGTGTGTGTGTGTGGCATGTAGGCTAGTCTGTTGCTGTTGCATACATCGTATTACAGTTTTTTACATTCGAAATGGGTTGATGTTAGTGGCTTATAGTGTACCATCAGGTTGGGGTGTTGTTGGTATGCTATGATCTCCCTGGTGTGCTATGGAGAAGGTGATTGGAATGTTGTGTTGATGTAATGTAGTGACATGTTGTGCTGTTGATGTTATATACATCGTATTACAATGTTTTACATTGGAAATGGGTTGAGGCAAGTGGCTTACATTGACGTGTGGAGCAACGTTGGAAATGGGTTGAGACAAGTGGCTTACATTAACATGTGGAGCAACGTTAACACCAATACGATGTTTTGATATGAACAGAACGTTGCTGATGTTTGATGATGTTTGTTTTGATAAAAACATATGAATAGAACATTGCTGATGTTTGATGATGTTGTGATGTTTGTTTTGATAAAAAAAATATGAACAGAACGTTGTTGATGTTTGATGACGTTTGATGATGTTTTGATGATGTAGTTGATGTTGCTGATGTTCGGAAAGGAGGGAAATCTAAAAAAGGCCTATAGTGAGCTTTTAACATTCAAATAGGACTTATTAGTCTACAAAATAAAAGGCAGGACCAAATGGTTTAACAAATTAAAATTTGGGATTTATTGGTGTTTTGCCCTAAAATTTATGAACAAATTATGTAAATAGTCTATGTAGTTTACACATTGTGTCATTTTGGTCCCTTTAATTTCAATTTGCTCGATTTTGACCCTAAATTTTATATTTTGTATCAATTTGGTCTAATAGATAACTTCTGTTAAGCATTTGGACGAAAAAGGCCCACATGGACAACATGTGCAGAGTTTTTAAGGGCAAAATAATCAATTTGCTCTCACTCTCAATTAACTCAATAATTTATCCGTCTAACTTAGAATGAGTTAAATACACTCCCATTTAATTCAATGATATATATATATATATATATCTATATATATTTATGTACACATGACCAGACACAAGAGAGAGAGAGAGAGAGAGAGAGAGAGAGAGAGAGATGAGGAGGAGGTGTCGTTGAAGAGTTAGGGGAGGGGGAAGGAGATGAAGGTGGCGTTGAGGGCTTATGAGAGATGGCAAGGCAACGTAGGGTGATGGCAAAGCGGTTGCTGTCTCAAGTTTAGAATGAAAGTAATAGGGTGATGGCGTCGCAATTGTGGGAGAGGTAGGGCGATAGAGAGAAAGCCCCTAAAAAGAAGAGAATTTTAACCAAAATCCTGAACCCTAATTGGCCAAGGCCATCTGGGTCGAAATACAAAAAGGTTCAGCAACGAAAATGGAGCAAATAGGCTGCCAAAATTCAAGACCCTTTCACCGACAAGAGGGTCTAGTTGGGCACTTACAACACCGTCGAAGAAGATGCGAGGGCTTACAATTTGAAGAAGCTTGAATTCGAATGCATGGCATAGTCGGAGAAAAGTTACAATCACAATCAAAGCCACTCTTCTTCGGTGACAGAGGACTTTGAAGCTTGTTGACTCACACATCCCCATTTTAGTCCTCCAATTGAACTCTTTAGCTTCAGCTTCAGTTTCGAATTCACATGTCGACGGCA